CCCCCCCCCCCCCCCACTCCTGCCACCGTCTTTGAGCCACTTTTGGCAAAATGGGAAGGAACGGTTGGCCATCGGCGATCGGACCGTTGGGAAGAATGCTCCGTCGTCCTGTCGAGGACGCGTGGTCAATGGTCTAACTGCTAAGGCATAATAAAAATATGAGTACGCCCCCCCCCCCCCCCCCCCCCCCCCCCCCCCCCCCCCCCCCCCCCCCCCCCCNGCCCCCTTGACACTCACGATCCCATCACCAAGTCGACCGTGCTGTTCGGCACTCGCTGCCGCCATCCTCCTCCTCCGCCTCAGCAGCGCCATTGTGGACGCCGCCGAGGCCGTCACCACAGCGGTGGCTGCGGCCGCGCACAGCACCCGCGGGGCTGGGGAGGGAGGCTCTTCGTGCGGAAAGTCTCGGCGAGGCCTGTGTGTACGCGACGGAAGACAAGCAGCAAAAAAACAACGTTCAAAATGTAAGCCCTCAGAGTCAAGCAGACGGTGGACTGCTTGGTATTATCTGGAAGGCGTAGAAACTTTTTCAGTGATTGTATGCATATTTTCTGAAGAAACGTTACGGATACTCGAAGGAGGGATGTCCCGTCAAGATTTCCGGGTGGACGCGAACCGAACACAGGTGTGTGTGTGGTTTCGTCCTACTTGTTGTGGCGACAGTCCCCCCATTTCAGTGTATGTAGCGACTTCGCGCGGGGGTGAAGGTCAGACTGTGACGGGGATTCATCGTGCTACATCCGACACAGGGGTAGTTTCTAGAAACTCCCGCCGAGGTTCTGCGTATGCAACACACCCCTGGAGCACGGCGCGCACGTGGAACTCGGCAATCTCCTGCCTGCCGACCTGCCTATGGGCAGTCAACGGACGGTGCATCCCTTGCATGTGGCCTTGGTACAGCACTTGTCAGTTTATTTATTCGTACTACTGTACTAGACCCATCCAGGGTCACACATGGAACGCGGTTATCGGAGCAGCGAACACCGGATGCCTTGCGGCTAAAAGTAAAGCTATGCTAGGCCTTGCCACACAGAGACAGGTTGTAGCGCAAGCGCTTGGCGTACAACGTTCCAAGCAACCCGCACCGAGCACACAATGTCTCGTCCCGCGTCGCCGTGGCCACAAGGTCCAAGATCACACCAGTACCTTCACAGCAGTTGTGGTGGTGGAAAAAAACCCGCGCTGCTGTGTGGGCGCCCAGGTTGCAGCTGTGTAACGTGTCCAGTTGTGTGCGTGTGCTGTAAAGAGCGGCTCTGCCTTGTCCTATGCATAGTCTACTGTAGTATGTGTCCAAAATGGACAGCTTTGACTGTCGGCTCTCAAGCGCAGAGTAAGAAACTGAGTTGAGACGTGGAGCAGTGCCGATATGTAAACTAATTACAGCAGTACTACATTACATTATGTACTTCGAAGTACGGTGCGTCGTACCACTATTTTGCCTCCGGTCTCGCAGAGGAGCGGTAGGGGAGGCGGTGTTCGGATGTGTCGGAGCGATGGTGCACGAGACAAATCGAATTTCGAAGGCAGAGATCTCCAAGAAGAGCTTGTGCAGTTGTTTGTTGTTTCTCTCCCATCATCGGACTCTGCCGTCTGCCCCTCTGGCCCCTATCCTCCACTTCTACTGGCTAGACGACCCAACCGGGGTCACATAGGAGGGGGGGGGTTGGACCCCCTCCTGCGGTTCATGCCTGAGGTATTTTTATCGCGAGAAGGGTACAGCAATCCCTTCCCTCGCGACTTACGAAGTCGATTATGGTTTACTAACAAACGAGCTTTGCAGCGGGTCGCTTTCATCCTAGACCAGGATTTATTTAATGAGAAAAAAACTCTCTCTGCCGGGACTCAAACCCATGGCCTGGCCCTTAGCAGGCTGCGAGGCTACCCACTAGACCACCGGGGCGACTGGTAGTATCGCCGTCGGATTCAACGGTTTTTCACTTCAGCAGCAACGTTGTTGGTCTAGTTCGTTGGATGGCTCAGTCTACTAATAAGCGGCGCACCAGCGTGAACAAAAACTTCCGATCCTTCGCGCTGCTAGTAGCTACAGCAGGTGCGTTGTTGATGCACGATGACAAAAATGACGGCTTGCTCTGCACTCACCGCCGCATCCATCCATCCCCACAAAAAACCCGTCTAACTAATATATGCTCTCTACCGAGCTCCTCCAGCTTGCTAAGCCAGACTCTATGTGTACGCCGTCTGCTGTTGGGTACTGCTGTCGTACTTTGTCTCTCATCATTGACGTTTTTTATTTCTTCAACAATATAAGCCTCCATCTCTATCGAAGAAAAGAAGAAAATAGACAAAGACAGATCAGCAATGAGTCCATAGCGTCAGCGAAACTTCTGTTTTTCCATGATTTCCCGAGCAGCGCACAGTGATATCTCCCCCGTGGGTAACAGGGCCAACAAGACAGTTTGGTAGCCGTCTTGTGTATCTCTCTGTATATTATCCTGCGAAGGTGTTGACCCGGTGGCGACAGAAGGACATGGGCGAGAGACAGGGGTTGGATGCGAGACACTCACGCGGCTAGAAGCGGAAAGATGGGCGAGAAGCTGACCCATGCTAGCACCAACTCCAGCGCCAGGATTCCATGGTAGCCGAGGGAAGCAGGCATCGCCATACCCCTCACACGACACCGAGGTTTAGGTGTTAGTCTAGTGCGCAAACCAGACGGCGCGAGATGCGGCGAGATTACGAACCACGAAAAAAAAAAAAATGGGGCGCAATGCCCTTTTGGCTTGTCGAAAATTTTCGTCATCGCCCGCCTGCGCGTGTTCGCTGCACGCCTCGCTCGGACATAACACGGGCACGCACCTGTGCCGTTGAATGCTCGGAGTTGTCATCGGCAGTGGGCGGTGCAAAATGACGCTTTCTCCCGAAAGCAAAAGATCCTTTTCGGAAGAACAAGATCCTGTCGTTACCATATCCAAGAAACCAGTACAAGCACAGGTCGTCGATGAGGCGGCCGCGCTGGCGGCGACTGGAGATCACCGTCTCGGGGGCATTCGACAGTTGATCATAAGAGGAATGAGGCTGACCAGTTTTGAACCTTCGTGTGCGGCAAGGCTTCGAAGCCTTACGGTAAGTTCATATCAAGATGTGGGGACGTCGGGTGTAGGTGTGGTTTGAAAGGCCATGGCCCCTACAGTATCCAGTACAACTAGGGCTGTACAACATTACCTTTCCTTCTGGGTGGACCATTGCTCAAACAGTCAGCAGCTCTGACATCAACACTCCTCTCTCCCCTTGAAGGCTCGGTCAAATTTGTGTACTTGTAGCATTCATCGGTGGATGCCGTAAGTCTATTGTACAACTGTCGTCTGCTTGTTTGTTCATGGAGGCACGACGAGAGCTCATCATGCCCCGACCTTTCTGATTTCGGTAGTTTAATTCACGCTCTAGTCTAGACTACAGTATTGCAACAACTACGTACGCTAAGTACTGCTTGTCGTTTCCCTTCTCCAAGCAACTTTCCCAAGAAACTGAGCTTGTCGTGGTGGGTTCGGCTCGGGTGAACTTGCGATCTACACGTATAATAGGTGCTATCTCTGTCCAACAACTCCCTGCGGGACCTGGAGAGCTTCCGGCCGCTGGTCAACCTGGTGGAAGTAAACGTCAACTTCAACGCCATTACCTCGCTCCGCGGCTTGGTTTGCCCTAACTTGCGGAGGCTCTACCTCAGCAACAACTTTATCGCCAGCACCGAGAGGCTCACGGTCTCCTACCCGAAACTACGGACCCTTTGCCTGTTCAAGAACATGCTGCCGAACCTTGCGTCCGCCCTTGAGCCACTTCGGTAAGGGTTTTGCCTGGTTCAATCTCATATGACAGTTTTGGGTGTCATGATACGAAGAGACCTATCTAGAACACCAACCACGGAAATGATAGTAAGTGCACGCCTCAACTCCCACGATAGACATCACCAGAGCGTACCTATAGAATGACCTCGCGTACACGGAAAATGTTTTTCTGAGGGCTGTTCTGGAAGTCACGCCAGATACACGCCAAGCCTCCACTTTTTGCCAGACCTTTACGCGTCAGTGCTGGCAATCGACACACATGCATCAACTAAGAAGGCTGCGGGCTGCAACAGGATGTGCAAACCGCCATAATACCCCTTCGACTGTTTCTCCACGTTGAGGGCAAGGTTGGACTCGAGACTCGACCATATCTCTCCTACATAAAAGAACTGAATCGAAGACATTATTATCATGTTGAATTGGGGGGGGGCGGGGGGGCGTGGATGATGAGCAGGAGGCTTTCAGACCTGAGGGAGCTCGACCTCGACGGAAACCCTTGCTCGCGTAGCCGAGGCTACAAGCACCGCGTCATCCGCTGCTGCCCTCGCCTGCGGGAGCTCGACGGGGAAGAGCTGGGCCAGCTCGATCGTGACTTATCTGATCTGTTTTTTGAGGAGCAGGTGTTATGTTCAACGGTGTTGGATCAGGGAAGAAGTAACATGTCCATCGATGTTTGGGTGCCACCATGCAAGAACACTTTTTGATGAGTCATAACACAACCATCCGTGCGTCCTTGAGCGGGCACCTGTGAAGGCTAGTAGGACGACTTTCTGGCCAACGCCTGGTTGCATGCATGCAAGCTCCTCCAAGTGAAGCACTGAACCATTGCCGATCTACCTCGTGCGTCACTACGCCACAAACAACGCATACAGCGGAACAAAGTGATGTGGGACCGAATGGGAGGTGTAGACGACGACAGAGAGGGATCCAGCCGTCGCCACCGCCCCGCTACAGCCCCGGCGACAGCTGTGTCGAGGAGATGGGCGCAAAGAAAGGGAAATCACCCCAGCGGAGCAGCCAGGGAGAACTCGAAGCTGCTAGAAGAGGACGCCGAGGATTTGGGAGCAGCATTGCAAGGCTCCCCGAAGCTTGGGGAGCTGATGGATTTCGCTTGCCTACCTCCAGGAAAAACTCAGCTGCTCAGATCCGACAGACTCAACAACGACCCACAGGCACGATCGTACCCTCTCTTTGTGGCAAAGCATCCCGCAGACCGTCGGCAAGCATATGGGGGCTCACGAGTCTTGCTCCGCTGCGCACTTGATCGGAACTTCGTTCGATAACCAAAGTTGTGATGGGGTATTCGCGGAAGTATGATCGATTGGCGGAGGTTGAGTGTATCATGGAAGAAAACGTTTTGGCTGGAAGTCGTACAGTGTTCAGCCCCACCCTTGCCCACCGCCTGCTTCACCGCAATTCCAAATTGATATGTTGCAGCGATACGCTAGTGCCGTCTTAACAAGACAAATTCTATATCCTGGAGTGGATGCCTGCAGAATCAAATCGACAAATGTGAATGTGAAGGCCCCCACCTGATTGTTTTCCGTGCACCCTCTCCATGCACTATCATCATAGTTAGTGCCCACTCTATTTGAATCAGTGGTGGTCGTGTCCACGAGTTCACGGGATGCTCGAAACAAACAACGCTGCCTTCATTGTTTGATCGTTTTGGAACAAGTACCGGTTTTGCAACTACCCCGCCCTTGTGCTCAACCTGTACAGTTGCCGAGCAACCGCACCACACCCATCAACGCCCCCCCACCCCCACCCCATTGGTGCCGGGCTGCCTAGTCGTCGAGCCTCTGGTTGCGTACCCCGTTTGTGGTAGCGATGCCAAGGTCTGCGCCGCTCGCGGTAGCGACGCCAAGGTCTTTGAATATGGCGATACACAAGAATCTAAAATGTCGACCGCACCCCTCCAACCCCCCTGCTGTTTGGAAACACCGAAACATCCCGGAAACATGCATCTATTCGAGAAGCTCCTCAGCTACTTGGCGCAGGGAGTGCTCGCTGACCCCTGTGGGTCGCCTCGGGACGCTGTCGAGTCCCTCCGGCGGAAGGCCCTCGCCCGCTCGACGGAGACAAGACGGCGTGCGACCACCGTAGCAGAACAGCCTCTCGGAGAAGCAGAAGAGGGGGGAACCAGGGAGGGGGCAAAGGTGCCAGAGGAGGAAAAGGGTTTCGAGGAAAGGGGCAGAGAGGGAGAGGGCGAGGGAGAGGGCGAGGGAGAGGGAGAGGGAGCGGGAGAGGGGGAGGGAGAGGGAGAGGGAGAGGGAGAAACGGTGGTTGGGGCAGTGAAGGGCGACAGTGCCAGAAATGGACCCACTAGCAGGGCAAGAAGGTCTCCGCCGGACGCGAGGAGAGTACACAGCAGCGAAGTGCCAACCAAAGAAGATGCGCTACCCACACGGAATCTGCAGCCGCAAGACGAGCCGCCGCCGTCTCTACCCTTGCCCCCTCCCCCTCTACCTCCTGCGACCGGCCTGGATCCTTCGGACCCATACACAACGATAAGGTGCTGCTTGCTTTGCGTTCATGTGTGACAGTAAACGCATTTTTTTAGGGCTCTTAGCTGTGCACGCCCGTCCATGTTGCCAGTCGCTTTCTCTCCGTTCTCCGTATTCCTCCAAATAATCCTTCGCAACAGCCTCCCGACCAACGAGGCTTGCGAGAAAAGCGGGGCGAGGTGTTTGGTGGAGCCAGAGTACGGACTGCCGTACACGAAAACCATATGCTCCTGCGCAAAACGGACATGAGGTTTCGAGGCGTGTTCAGGCCGTGTGTGATCACTCGTTTCGGGCTACAGTATGCGACGTCGGTTCCGCACGGAGTCCTGGGGCACTGCTTTTCGATCTTGATCGTTGCCACCCGCAATCCTCGCCAAAATACGATGACTCCAGCGGTTCTATCCGCAATAAGGCAGACTTCTCGAGGCTGAACACTGCCTTCTCCCTCTCCTTATCCTCGCTCACATATGCACACGATGCCCTGTATGTTGAAAGTCTTTGCCATTTCCCCCTAATAGAAATAGGACAGGAAACGAACACCGTCCTCCGAGATAGTTCGTGGAGCCAGAGGGAGGAGGAAGAATCAATTATCACGTTGTTAGCATGATACTACACACAAAAGTTGCAGCGAAGACGCAAGAGCTTGTTCAGCTCTCCTCGACGAGGAGAAGTGACGCTGGGCTATCACTAGTTCCAAGGGTATGAAAAACGACTGCCCCCCCCGCCTCCCCGCCCTCCCCCCCCCCGATGTTTGCCATCGGGGTTGGGTTTTCGTCGCTTGGCAACGACGTTGAAAAACAAGCCGATGACTTCGTGAGCTCGGCAACCAGGTCACCGTTTTTTTTTCACCTCTGTTTCTTTTTTTTGGCGGTAACCATAATGGTGGTCGAGTAGATCATGTTGTGCGGGGTCGAAACCCTCACTCCGTGCAAAGGGGATGATCGCACCACGTTGTGTTAAAGTGGTCAAGCACCCTCTAGGCAGTTACACAATGCTTATAACTTTCTCTGCGAGCTAAAGCACCACAAGTCATACGCAGCTGTCATCCGTGCGCAAGGAAGTAAGCACAAGATGCNGACTTCGTGAGCTCGGCAACCAGGTCACCGTTTTTTTTTCACCTCTGTTTCTTTTTTTTGGCGGTAACCATAATGGTGGTCGAGTAGATCATGTTGTGCGGGGTCGAAA